AAAAAAAAAGTGACAAGAGATCATAATAAATAATAAATATAATATAAAACAGCCTTGTCCTTTCAAAAAACAACCACGCAACCATCCCAAAAAACACACAATAACTACTCAACTACAGAAAAGGTTGATCTGGTCAGACATATACTGGAGAGCCAAAGAGCCAGTGAGGTGAATTAAACAAAAGAAAGTTAAAACAACGACTGAATTTGTCACAGGAAGCAGGGCTGTACTGGCAAACAGAGAGGAAGACATCAACCTGCTTCTTCCTGCTGTGGTTGTGGTTATGCAAACAGAAGCAGCAGTTGTTTATAATGTACGTCATATCATTTAAATATGTGGATGTACAATTTTACACGGCAGGGAGAGGGAATCACTAAAAAATCAATTATGATGATTAAACTGAGCTCAAGTGTAAAATCAATGCATTCCACTTATATTAACATTTAGTGCTGTGATAGCTTTAGTTGGCCATCAGGGGGCAACAGAGACACACAATCTGCTTAAGACTTGACTTTAAATGTTTTACATCTCTCACAAAATGATTCACATCATCAATCCAGTTGATTAACATGTTATAGATCGACTGTACGTGACTACAGGCTCACAGAACAGCCTCGATGGGTTGAACAGCTCCAATAAAGTTTCAGTATTTATGGCTGAATGCAGCAGTTAGCGTCTTAATTTAACTTTGATAGTGCTAAACTTCCTGCTGTTGCATTGTGGGACAACACAAATATAGTTATTTTAGCCTCCTAAAGTGATATTATTCTTCATATATGTTACATGTAAGATAAATGAATGCAATAGGAATGTACATGTGTCTTATATTTTATGTATTTTTGTATTTATTTGAGAATATATTAATGTTTCCTGTGAACCTGACACCATCTTATACTGTCCTGTATATGAAGGTATTATTATATTATATATATCTTATAGATGTTTGTTGGTAGGAGATGATAGAAGGATGAATTTAAATAAAGATAAGTTATTTTTCTGGTGTGTTATGGAAGCGTATTGCATTCACTTGAAAATTTATTTTTTGGTTTGTTTTTCAGAGTAATTCTTTTCTGAGTTTAGAGAGCATTTGAAACAATAGACGCATTCATTCCTTTATTGAGAGCTCGATTTAACGGAATTTCGCAGACACTGGCAGATAGTCCTGTCTTTAAGTCATATAGATGGTATTATCCAGATCTAGTGTGTCGACTCTACGCCCAGCGCGCAGTACTTGGGCCACCGGCTGAGGTAGATAGTTGATAGATGGGGCATGTAAGTGTTGCGGGCAGGAGTCACCATAGTTTCATGGAGTCACTGCAGTTTGGACGGTTCTCACAGGAGTTTGAAGTATCTTGATAATTCAGAAAAGAAATTACTCTGAAAAGAAAAACAGAAAAAACAAAATGTCAGAAAACAGAAAACACAAACCAAAAATGGACCAATTTAATTGTAACCTACATTTTTAATTTTTCCCCTTTTTAAATGGAAATTCCCATTTCCAGCTGCATTGAATGTGCACTACCCCAGATGAGCTGTCCGTTGTGCTGAACCCTTTAAGGCCCCTGAACGCCTCACCTTTCCTCACTCAGTTCTCATTACACTATTCAGATCTTATCGGTTCGTGCCGGTCGCGCCTGGTCACGTGAACACGTTGGCACGAGAGCGCGGAGAGAAACGTCTCGTGCTTGCTGGCGAAGCTCGTGGGTGGCGAGGAAGCGACGCTGGTGAGTCAGGAAAACGTAAAGATCGTTTGTGTGCGACAGACATCCACCGTTACCAACGGCAACGCGACGGAAACAGACTTTAAAGTTTTAATCTTATTTCACCCCAAAAAACATTTAAAGGAGTTTGAGATATTTATAGTTTTTAAGTTTTTTATTTTCAGTCCTAGATTTTGGTTTAAATTTATTAAAATCGTCTTATCAATGTTGTGCTAATGTTTATGTCATAAAGCATTGTTAATTATTAGGAGATATTAGGAGCTATAGATCTGTACGTTAAATTAAAAGGCGTCGTTGCAGTGGACAGAAGGACAGATGTCATCAATGGAATAGATGAATAAGATATTTAATATTATAAAGTTTTTGTATGTCTTGAATTACATTTTTTGGTGTATTTGTTATTATATATATAGATTATATATATATCGTATATTTATTCATGCTCGCCGAAAGAATGTTTTTCTGTGTGAATAAGTTGCACGTTCATTACAGATAATCAAATGTGGTTTTGTACCATTAATGTAAAAAACAAAGTGACCATGAGATCATAATAAATAATAAATATAATATAAAACAAGCTCGTCTTTTCAAAAAAAACAACCACACAACCATCCAAATTAGGAGCTATAGAGCTGTACTTAAATTAAAAGTTAAAAGTTATTATTAATAATTGCTTTGTACTGTTATATGAACAGAATGTGTAAAAGTTTTCGACTGTAAAAAAACAATATATGAAATATTACATGTATTAAACTATACCATTAGTAAGTTAAAAAGTATCCAGCTCCCTTTATTTGGGAGTAAAAGTACTAAAACACACTGTGAAAATACTTAATAATATGTGGAGTATATATAAAATCTACATTCAACCCCTCACTTAAGTAAAAGTTTATTATTTAATATTTAAAGTGTATTTAAAAGTCCAAGGAGTGTAACATTCAGGAGGTTATTTGTCAGAAATGAATATAATATTCATAGGGATGTTTCTTTAGTGTATAAGTCACCTGATATGAGATCATTGTGTGTTTGTTACCTTACAATGAGCTGTTTTTTAATCCCACAAGGGAGTCATGTTTTCTACATTGAGTTCTCTTCCCCTGGAGTACACCATGTTGAACCACCATGTTTCTACAGTAGCCCATAACGGACAAACCAAACACTGGCTCAAGATAAAGGTGCTGACATTTTCTTTTATATTTTTTTTGCAATGTTTTCAAGTGATTTTGATACATTTTGAGCAGATTATTTCAAGATTCAAGATTCATGAGGTTTATTATCATACGTACAGTATAAACACAAGGCTAGTAGGCACAATGAAAATCTTACTTTACCCGAATCCCTGAGGTAACACACAATTAGAACAGTAAGAACATAATAAGTAAAAAATATAAAAATGTTCAATATAAAATATAACTAAAATATAACATATAACTTCCAAGTTAAAACTTAAAGTGCAGAACATTTGCTGTTTAGGGAACTTTATATCAGATTCTCTGTCTATATTATATATATTTATCATTTTTAACAATCATAAAGACTTAATAAGCTTCTTTTTTTTATACATGTTATATATACTTGTCCCTGATGTTTGGCTATTGTTCTATTAGACAATTTACTAAAGTTAAAGTTTCTTACAGATCTTAAAATCAAGAAGGCCTTGTGACCCCCTGTGAAGCTTTGGCGACCTCTAGTGGGAGTCTTCAACATTCAGGGACAAGTTCCGTAATATTACGAGAATTAAAGTCGTAATATTACGAGAAGTCTTTCCGCTGCGTTGAAATGAGGAATGTTGAGCATCTTGTGAAGTTTTACTTTGGTATCAGTTTCACAAATAAGGAAATACTTAATCTGAGCTGAGGCTGCTGATTGGTTGAGCTGCTCGTCAGATCTCTATCAAAGCTTTTTTCTCATTAAAACAACTTTTTTTATTGTATTATTATTACATTATTCTCCTAATATTACGATTTTATTCTCGTAATTTCCAAAATTGTATTTATTTATTAATTAATTTATTTATTTTCCTGTTAGTATGGCCCTGATACTTAACTAGTTCAGGAAAAAGTGAATAAAACAATAAAAACTCTCAGTAAATGTACTCGATTACATTCCACCAGTGCCAGTTACTTCCTGCAGACACAGTTTCTACCGGCGGAGTGATCCATCTCCTCCACAGACGATCTGTGTGTGTGTCTCTCTCTCTCCCTGTCTGTCTCTATGTCTCTCTCTCTCTCTCTCAGACTGAAAATAGGTCCAGCTGGGTTTGGTCTGGCAATCATCGCCTCTCACACCGACTCCGACACCGAATTTCAGCCACAACAAGCGGACTGTACCGACGTCTGGCGCCCGGTAACCGGAGGATTTACCGACATACTCTCGCTCCCTATAAATAAAAACTTGATATTTATATTTCATTTTGGGGGTTTTTGTTTCTTTTTCTGTTGGAGGTTTTTTTTTTTCTCTCCGCAACCGAAGTGATGTCTGTCGCGGGGTTGAAAAAGCAGTTCCATAAAGCCACCCAGGTGAGTCTGTTTACGTTTGTTATTGATTATTTATTAGATATATATTTATATTTAGTGTAAATACGTTTGTGTCAGCAGGTAATCTGATATTATTCTGCTTTAAAACGGAGCAAATGTGAAGTAAACATTGCGTTTCCTGTGACATTAGCGCCAAAAAAAACCCAGAAATCTTGATTTTATTTAAAAAAACAACAACATTAAATTCTTTTTAGCTGCAGATTGTAAATAAACATTAATAAATAATAAATAATAATAATTTATATATATATAATAAATAAGGAAACGTGATGTTTGGATGAAACGGAGGCTGTTTTTTTCGTGATGGTGCGTTCAGGAGCAGGGTATACCCCCCTCCAACACACACACACACACACACACACACACACACACACTGACAATCCTGCAGATACAAAGGTTTGTTGTCATAAAATTGTTCAGAGCATATCATAAAACTTTGCTTCCATGTGCCAATTTCTAATCCAGACAGTGAAGGTAATAAGCAAATGTACCCAACCGTTCCCTCTTTCTCTGCAGACAAGGGGGATGTGAATGTTCCATACCTACAAAGAGAAAGTTTACTCTGGTGGCCCCTCAACTCCTTC